AATTTTGTGTATAGTACCTTTATGTATTTAAGTATTTCATTTGTGTCAGAAAGCGTCCTAGCTTCCAATCACTACATTTTCAATTATTTGAAAATTGGATTTCAAAACTTTCAATCTAGCACAGTAATCTCATCACTTTTCTAATTTGTCTTGCATTTTCCCCAGCATTGAATCAAATGGATAAACAGCTAATCATGAAAGGACTAACTCTGCAATAAAGCACTAAAATACTTAAATTGAGATATATGGTGGAAAGCTGTCTTGACAGACTTCAACAACTTTATTATCATTGAAGCAATCTAATTCTCAAAAAGCTTAGGCTCATCAAAGCTGTGTGAAATTTAGTTATTATCAGTTGATTAATAGTTTTAAATTAATTCTTACCTATTCAGACGTCCAACCTTCAATGACAGGACAAAATAGACCACTTCACTATTTAGAACAAACAGAACTGCCTTATTGGGATTTTTCCCTATTCCTAACTATCAGTGGGAAGTATGAGACTTTTCTTTGGGTTGCACCTGGTCTTTGTGAATGTCTACTTTGTCATGCATGATAAGAAGGGCATTTAAAATTTCTATCAGCTTTAATGGGGTAATTATCACTAACTCCAACAAGTGAATTTAAATTTCTAAACCAGAAAACTATTCTAAAGGAGAGCAGCTAACATAACTAAGACTGTGAAGCCAACAAAAGATCGCAGAAAAATCTAAGTTTAAAAGGATATGTCTATTTCAGTGTCTCACAACTACTGCTATAGTTTTTGTTCAAGATTTCTGTACCCAAACAACATCTGAACATCTATCTCTTTATACTCTTCCCATTTCACTTCCCATTTCTTTTTCCTATAGGTGTCTCAGAAGCATGGGAGAACCAAAAAATTGTTGGGTATTTTCTTTTTATTAGATATCAGATCAAGTTAGCATTCTCCCCTTTGCTCACGTACTAATGCCCTAAAGATATCATAACTTTGAAATAATGAAGTAAGGATGTAATAGTATGTTGCATTTGGGATTTTTCTGTTTTGTTGGGGGGGCGGGGAGAATTATAATTTTATCTCATTTAAAAGTTTGTGGGATTTTGACTTTTATTAAGCTAATACTATAATTCTTATTACACACACACAGACATATATATAAAAAGACAGCATTATACAGTAACACAATTATTGTCAACTGCATCTGTGTAAACTGAAAAATATTTTCAGATATCTTAGCAGTTATTCTATGGCACTAAATATAATACAGAACTTCAGAGGTTTATAATAAGGTTTCAGAATGGTAAAAACCCAGTCACTTTCCCATCAAACTGTAGATGGTCTCAGAGAAAAATATCCTACCCTCCCCCAACTGATTTGTGCTATTATAAAATATTGTGCTATCACAAACTAATACAAAGTACCAACTATATGCAGAAGCAATACATGCATTGTACACTTCTTTGTATTGCTTAGAATGACATCCTGATGCTATCATTTAGCTCATCATGACGTTCCATCAATCAAAACCCAGTTTTAATTATACACCATTCTGCTTTTTCTCTCAGAGCAAACACGGAGGACATGCAACGACCTATTTAAATTAAAATACATACTTTATAGAATTAAAAATAGGTTGGGAATCACTTTTAAATCAGCTATCAGCCTGTCAATTAATGTTCTGAACCCCTGCTATTGACCCAGTACTGTACAAGCTGTTATTATGCACTATCCTACATATCATCTGTTCCCCGTGCTGGTCTGTTCCAGAAAGACAGACAGCTGCAACAGTATATCCCTGTTCAACCTGAGGACCATCTGACTTTAATTGTAGCACACAGCTTGATGTGGGTCTGGTTATGAGAAGCCAAAGTATCACACTGTAATAATCTGGAAAAGGAGAAACCTGCCAACACAAGGCTGCAAACAGGGGCTTGGGCTGTCTGGCTGGCTGACGGGCTGCAGGAAATATGATTAATGAGCAAGGTATAATGATATCAGGAACCCGATTAGCACCACAAAAAGGTCACAGATCAAAGTAGTATGCATTTCATGAGCTCCAATCGTTGTATAAGATCTGTGGACTTAAAGAGGTAAACTGAAATGCAAAGGGAAAAAATATCTATGTGTGATAGCTTACAAAATGAGCACTTAAAATACTATAATCACTATTTTGTCTGAACCAGGAAGCACTTAAGGAAATATTAACTGAAAGAATCAGCCCATGCCACATTCTAGCCAGCTTTTTTTTGATAGTATTTGTGAGGAACTGAGCTTTCAGCATTCTTCCTAAACACACCAATTCTACTTAAAAATAAAAGGATGCTGATTTGATGCTGATTGCATCCAATCCACTACATATTAACAAGAAAAAGCAATTTAATATTTGCATGTAATTTTCTCAGTTTTATTCCACCGCAAAAATGGCAGATTACAGAGGGCATCATCCATACCAGCACTAACATGGCCACCACCACCACTATAAGGTTAATCATGTCACACAGAAGCAGTTAACACAATTCATTAGCACAGAGGTTTAAATTTAATGCTACCTCTGTGACCAAAACTTGATATCTGAATTACAGCAGCAGTATCAGGGACCTACAGTGTCACCAAAAGGGATGACGTCTGCAACACTTTAATATACCATCACTTGGTCAATTATTTCTTACCTTCATAATTAACTTAAGCCTTAAAAAAACTTCTGTTCTGTCCAGTTATGCGATACTTGAAAATTGCATGTTCCTGTAAAAATTCTTTGTTTTGAAAAACTCTAATTTATGGCAACTTTTGCATGTTCATTTAATACAACATTTGACAAGTTGTACTGCAAGGTCTACTTTCACAGCATAAGTTATGAAGCCAAGCAGATTACTAGCAAAGTCTTTTTGTTTAAAATAGTTTCAAAAGTCACAATCGCTAATGAATAATTACTTGGGGGAAAATGTATATGAGAAGGAAACACTAATTATATTTAGGTAATAAATATGATATTTCAGTTTCATAAGAAATGCTGAGTGAAATTAAGGCAACTACAAAGTAATTTTAATCTTCATCATTCAAATATACAAAAATTAATGTACTGCTGTTTTCAGATTACTTTTTCTTGAAATGAAAGTTTTGGATATGTAACAAGCACTTCATTCTAGAGCGTTCTGAACTTTTTGTTTTCAGGATTTAACAAAATAAAGATGTGCTTATTGTAGATTGTACATAAAAAGAAAAAAATACATTTGGAATATGGAATGAGATCATTACTCTCTAAGAGAAGACTTTAAAGGGATTTTACATTTGTGCCCAAGAGTTTAACAATAATAATCAAAACGCAGCTGCTTCCTGCTGATGAAGCACTTTATCCTGAGAATATAGCACAAGTGAGAGATATCAAAGAGAGCTCCAAGAAAGGCAGACACTAGCAGCAAAGGCTTTGGGAAATGATGGAAGGATGAGGGAAGGGTAGGTCAGAGTGTACAGAGAGGTGAGGGTGAGAAAAACCTGGCACCAAGGCTAGGAATTAGGAAAAGAAAATTAAAAGCTAAAATCTTAGAAGAGGAGGAAGCAGGAGATGGAGAATAACTTCACTGTGGGGAACGCCAGATCCATAACTAATAGACTGAGAACTATATTTTATGCAAAAGCTAAAATACCACAGTCGTGAGAGATCAAGGCCACAGGCTGCCTTTAGCAAGTCTGTTTAAGAACACAGCTTTTAATTTCTCAGGTTATCCTGAATCACCAACGCGTACCAAGCTCAAAAAGGTGTCAGGCTACCTCCCTAATCTATCAGCAACAATTGTAAGATCAAAAGTTGTGTTTGAAAATGTTTTGCCAAGTAGTCCTGCTAAATGTTAGTGTATTTCATACCTTGTTTAAATAACATTTGCACATGCTTCTATACGAAGCAAAACACTAAATTCACCTAACATAATTTGTGATTATTATGGGGCACCCTACAATTGCCTGCAGAAATCTAGGCCAAATAACATTTCTGAAGAGCATGGTATCATGTCACCAGCAAAAGTGCAGTGTAAAGCATTCTGATAACTTCTAAATCACAGATTGCTTCTAATGTGACTGTTCTGCAACTTTATGAATATGAGGTCTGATGTTCTGCCAACAATAGAACTTTCTCAATCCCCATTTTCTAATTTAGGAATATCAGGACATTACCAAGTCTAAGCCTGGTATCTGAAAAGTTTTTGAGTTGCCATGACTTAATTCAATGTTTCCCTGTTAGCTGACTACCACATGAAAACTGCAGCCTCATTTTCCAAGTTTCATTAAAAAAAAGCTTCTCTAATATATTTATTTCAGAGTGCCACTGATGCAGAACCCTTTCATTTTGAGAACAGCCTAATGTAATAGCTTTGTGAATGTGTTGAAACACCAACAATGATACTGTAACAGCTCTTCCCTAATTCGTAACACTGCCTGGAGGGCACAGTGAAGACAGGCAGTGCTAACAACAGGATTTTCCAAAACGGGGAAGAGAATAGTGATACAGGTTTGGGGAATGAAGCAGGCAAAGGAGAATTCAGTTTTATTTACTTGTAAAAAACTCTCTGAAAAATTTCAGTTTAATGCAAGACATGGAAGAGGTGAGAGAAGATTTAAATGCAACCAACTTTCCTGAGGCGTTCGCTGATCTTTGAAGTTAAATGGATACTAAAATTAAAATCAGAGTGAGAAATATTTCTATGATTCAACAAGCTTTTTCAAGTCTTCTGTAAAGTGATGATTTTATTAGCTCTTTAGAACCACAAGAGCTGACATACAAGTGGGATAAGATCTCCTGTGTATTTAGACCACACTCAAACTTTTTTGAGCAATTCTAAAGAATGAGCAGTACTATATGCCTTTTTTCTTCCCAAACTTGTAAATATAATACTTTTTCAGATCATTTCAGCCATAGTCCCATGTAAATTATAAATAGCTATATATTGCAAGCAAAGAGCCAAATCATTTCAGAAGAATCTTGCAAGATAAATGTTACTTGACAGACAATAGAATATAGCCATCTTACCAGTCGGTTTATGCGAACAAATTCTTCTGGGGTTTTGGCCCATGGTGGAAGTTCAACATCAGACACAACTGTTCCATCATCCATCACTCCCAGATTGTAATTGTTGCTGTTGACAAATATCTCTGGGAGGTAATAGAATTCAGGAATCAATTCCTGTAGATAAATGAAAAACAATGCCTTGTTACAAATTCTGTTAGAGGATGCATTTTGTCATGTTAAAAAAATAATTATTAGAATGGCATCAGGCAAAAAGAATATACAAAATCCTCCCACAGACATCCCCCTCCCCTCCAGAAGGGAGAAATCCCCTCTTTCATACTTTCTAAAATTTAAACCTTTAGATATGATAAATCTTTATGATGCTTTTAACACGACAAAGAACTAAGACACAACAGGCCATAAAACAAAAAAAGTCGTAATATTGGTTTTGATTGCATATTATGCACAGAGAAGCTTATAAAACTAAAGTAATGAACATCACGTGGTACAAATAATATTTAGTGGAAAGCAACAGACAAGCAAGGATGTTAAGAAGTTGGGGAAAACTGCTTCTTTCAAATTCTAATATAATCCACATTTTAAAGTGCTAATGCACAAATGGCAGTCTATAGTTTGGATGAAAGTAGCACCATATATATTAATTACAAAGGTGTAAAACCCAGTTATATTCTTATTCTCTCTAACATAAAGGGTCTAAGAACTTAATGTTTAGGCTATTATCTAAGATTGTTCAATGCCCAGAAATAATTTTGTAAATTCTAAAATTCCTGGAGTTATACCACATGTTCAGAAAAAAACCACACAGTCAAAGCTGAATCAAATCAATATTTTTCTTTCATTGAAAGGTCGTTAACTCAATTATGTGTCCAGTCTATAATTACAGGGAAGAACCATGCATAATTTCACACACATGCACGCACGAACACACACAGACACAAGAAAAAAAAAGGAAGGCATTTCACATGGTTACAAGGTCTGTACATGCACTAAATTCCTTGTCAGGATCATCACTGCTTTAAGTGTGCTCTACAGGCCAGTGCTGAACAGGACTGGAACTCGGCATTTAACACCTCCATGGCTGGCCCGCCCTCACACTTAAGGCTGGCAGAGCCTGCTACACTAAACACGGTTGAGGAAAAAATGCAAGCACATACAGCAAACGAATTGTAATTTCCATGTCTTATGAGAAAAACAAAGTATTTTTTTAAGAGCAGAAAATGGTACATTCTAGTGCAGAATTGAACACACATTCTAGTGTGGAATTGAACACAACATGCTAGGAAGCAAAATTAAGCTCAAAAGCATAAGGAATTTCTCCTAGATAAGTGGAGTGTTTCCCTGTTTTGCAAACAGACATGCAGCTTTGCAAGTTGTCATTTATTTTGTAAAATATGCATTAGGATATACATAAACTTATCTAAGTTAATGTGATTAGAACCTTATTTATACACTTTTATAAATGTCTGCAAAGTCCTGGCAAAACACTTAACAGAAAAAGCCTATTAAGACATACATATTTTTGCCCTTAATATATTTTAAAGATGCTTTTTTTTTTGTGGAACTTGATGTTGAGACTTAAATACATCCAATAAACCTGGCAATTTGATGGATTTAGAAAAATTGAGCCACTAAATTAGAGAATTTACTTCCTTTGTAAAGAAAGGATCAATACGTGTAATTGCTTCAGGAAGTGTATTTCATAGCAAATGACTGGTGTAAAATTGGTCTTCCATACTGCAAGTGCAAACTGCATGCCACTTAAGAAGTAGAAAAAAAATCAGACTGCCCCACTGGCTTTGTCTACAGCGGGTGTAGTATGTAGCTACATCAGAAGCTCAGGCGATCAGATCTGAAACCCAGTCTTGACATGGGTCAATGGATCAGTGGTCTCCCAGATAGCCCCTCAGGGCTAGCTATGGCATGAGCAGCTTTCCAAATGGCTGAGTGCAACAGGAAGGTCATCAGATTGCGGACAAGGTCAATCCGAAGTAGCCCGGGCAAAGACAGGAAAGATCAAGCAGGAATTAAGCTATTATCACCTCCATCCTTGTGTGAAACACTGCTTGGCTTTGAATTGTACATCTTTTTGTTTACAGTCACCTTAATTAACTAGGCAGGGTAAAAACATACTTCTGTACCAAATGCTTGACAAGTACTTGATAAAAAGAGATTTGAAACTATTTATTTGGATAAGTGAAAGAACAAGAATGCAGCAAGGATAAAGGTCTGTAAAAAAGAAGGTACTCCAACATCGACGTTTCTGTAGTTTTTATCATCACAGACAGAAACTAACAAAGAAAAAGCAGAGACAATGGACTATTAATTCAATAGCAGCATGCACCACAAATATGAAACCATACCATGATTCTGAATACTTAAAACATAAGCTCATTACATATGTTACTGATGTTTTTATTTTTTTTTATATATATCTGTACAGCTATTCATTAGTTTCTTTCAAGATCAGAAAACATTTGGCTTTCTAGAACACACATTGTTTTCATTAGATTACACAGAAACAATATGCTGCCTGGAAACTTGAAAATTATCAGTAACTTCTGTTACTTTGACTATTAGAAACTTTTCATAAAATGTTACTTCATTACTCCAGCAATGAGTTTTCATAAAATTTTTCACTGTCACCATAATGATACATTTTTAGAAAAGGAGCTTCTTTATTATCTGATTTTCTTATCTTGACCATGTGCTAATATTTACACATGGGGAAAGGGAGTGCAAACAGATACACTGGGCCATTCTAACTGAGTAGTATTTAGCACCAATTTTCAATGCCTTTACAACAGGTGAAAATGACAACATTAGTTAAAGGCCAACGGTTTTTCCTAAAACTGGTGAATAAACCTGATAATAAAACATTTAATTTTTATCAACTTTACGAATATTCTTTATGTATTTGGTAACTGCAGTCCTTAACACTCCTTCTCAACTCTATTTGTGGGGTCTTCTTTTTTCTTAAAATAGCCACATCACATGCATAGATGGAAACTAAGACAGCAGATGCTGACCCACGTGTGTAACTCCATTACTAATGGAACTTTTTGGACACCTGAGAACATTAAAAAGATTAATTAATGCACTTTTTGCTTGTTTTTTGAGGGGGGTGGGTGGGGAGGAGTTACTCGTAGTTTCACACAAATACCACATGAAGATGCAGGACCAGCCACGAGGGGCCAGACTTGGAGGACCATTTAGTATTTCACCTGGAACAGTGACAAGAACTGGAAGACTAACACAGGGCAAATACAGTCTTTCCACAGATATTCTGTCAGCTTCTTACAGATAAATGGTTTTGAACTAATCTGTACTTCTGATTTTTAAAATCATTAATCGTGGGTTCCACACTGTAGTTTCGTCTTCAAAGGTTTTTCCTTTGGCTATTCTAAAACTGCTTCCTAACAGTTCCAGTGGCTGGTTCGAGTACCCGTATTGTGAAAAACAGTGAATATTAATTCCTTATTCACTCTTCTATATGCCCTTCTGGATACTGTAGACCTCTATTGTCACACTCTTCCTCAGTGGTCTCTTTTTGCAAGCTAAAGGATTCTAGTCAATTTTGATTTGTTCCCTCTGGAGGTCTTCCCTTCTGACTAATCACTTTGGTTGCCTTCACACTTTTTCTAATTCTACTGAATCCCTTCTGAAATTTTACGCACTCAGCACATGTACAGAAACAGTAAAATTGTCCCACATTTGTTTTGTTTATATGATTTCACAGAAAACCAAAAACATCTGTATGATTTGTTGAAGCTCTTGCTTTAGCAAGAAAATTAGTTTCAGAAATTCCTCTGTGTTGGAATTCACCCGTTCTGCAGGGTAGACACAGACATCCTTCTGATAGGCAGTATTTCACTCCTTCTGCCATGTTTTTAATTTCATTACAACTGATGAAAGAGTTCACACTGAATATCAATATGAATCTAACACACAGTATTTATAGTGGTATATTTAGAAAAAAATTAAAGATATAATTTGCCATATCAGGATTCTTATTAAAATGCTTATAAAATACTGCATATAATTAAAATAACAAGTTTTCTTTAACAAAAACTGCCCTCTACCGCATGGAAACAATGATTCCTAAGGAAACTTCACTAAAAAGATTTTTTTACAAACAACTGATATCAACAGAATGCCAGTTTAACACTGGTGATTTATTTTCATATTTGCCACCATGCATAAAAAATCTATACAGGATACTTTGTTTTTTAACATAATGAAATTTCATTCTTTTCTTTTGTTTAGAAAATAATAGACAGATGCATTTTGAAGCAGAGTTATATGATCTGCAAAGGTATGTAGAAACAGTGACACAGATTCCCTAATCATATTAAACCATTTCTAAGATACCAGATTTTCAAACTAAATTATTTGACAATCACATTAAGCAATATTAAGCCTATATATAACCTGTCAAACAGAATAATAAAAATGCATATTAGAAGTCTAGGGTTTTATTCATATTGCCACACTTTATTTCCTCTGTTAGGAGACTTAAATGGCATTCAACAAATATATACTAATATATTAAATTAATACAAATTTCATTTTTTCATCACACTTCAATGTAATCATTTTCATGACTGTGGCAAAGTATAATTTCTAAGTACGCATGAGTTTCCCTCCATCTGCTATATGTGTGTTATTTCTTGCAGAACTAAGAAATTGCCTCAAGACATTGCCTGAAATTCTCCCAACTTGTAAGAAGCCTTCAGCAGGTTTCCATTAAAATTCTAAATTGAATTAACGAAGAAATTAATTTGTCAATGTCTAATAAACCTGCTAAAGTTCTAAGAGATTGTATTTCAAATATTTCCTAGTTTAAAAAAATATTAAAATCTTTGGTAATTTACAGTTAAGCAAAGAAAATTATAAAAAATCCTGCTGTTTATTTAGTAGATTTATGAAATATATGATAATCACAATTAGTAACTGATTCATTATTGATCAATAAGTAGATTTTATTAAGTCAATACTTTATTGCATAAAACATGCATCTTTAAGGCACTTTAAATCCTATTAGTCAATACATGGATTATATATATACAAAATTATTTTACTTTTTACTGAGGATATATGTAAAAGTATGCAACGGTGTTTATTGACCATATTTATACACTATGTAAACATAAAGT